ATCCACTTCTCCTTCACATTCCAGACATCTCATTTTCTTCCGTCTTCTGAATTCATCTTCATCGTTGTTTCTGCGGGTACCCTATTATTACTCTATATTTCTGATGCAATAATCACTCCTAGATGATTATTGTAAGCTGAGAATAAACCTCCCTAAGCTCTACTTTTTAAACCTATCTTATCGCTGACATATTTTATCAATTTCTGTTTGAGAATGAAGGGCAACTTTTGTTTCACTTGCCAGATACCCTAGCAACCCTTTAGTTAAAGGATTAGCACTATTTCAACCCGTGTACCAATTTTTATTCCTATATCCTATGTCCCCAATTTATCCATTAGTGTTGACTATATTACCACAACCCATCAAATGCAAGGAAATTAGTCAACTTCAAAGCAATCCCAAAAACAAAGCCTCTAACCCTTCAATAAATGATACACAGAGCATCCAAAATGCAATTTTTAATGAAATAGTATTTGCCAAGCCTCTGCAAAATCGTCATTTTATCACATTTCTTTAAATTGATTTTGTGTACTAGCCTGATCTGATCCTCTCGTCTGCCTCACACCTTATCACGTCATGTGACGCAGTCAGCACTTCCTGTATCTCCTCTCGCTTAGCGTTCCTCTCATATGACAGAAGAACAAAGACACAACATAACATTTTAGTCGTTAATGCAGTCACTGAGTATTTCCAACCATTCAATATTCTTGTTCTACATTATTCACTCTAAGACTAAACTCAAAACTAAATAGCTCGCCCAAAAACCTTGATTTTAATCCGTCATTTAATTATTTAATTCACTCTATTATAATCCGTTACCATATATTTAATTTATAAATTCAATAGGTCCCAAAACAAATTTCATCTTAACCCACCGCCGGTTAAACTATGTTAGAATCTCCTTGTGCCTATTTGTTCCGTCGTCTGTGTTCCTCTGTCTCCCCCTGCAGTTTAACCAATGTGTTGTTTTGCAGAATCCCACGCATGCGCAAATATCATTTATTACATAGATCGCTCCAAACCATTTCATTTAATTTTAATCGTCTTTTAATTTAATTAATTATACTCCGTCAACATATATTTGATTTATAACTTTACTACATCTCGCCAAATAGTTTCCCGTTCAAATAACAGTTACTTTAACGATTTTAAAAGATTCATGTCCAACTTTCCTCCTCGATAGCTATTAAACCCCTGCAAAGAAACCCCAAAGACCTCTGACCTTAAGCCACCATTTTGTTTTGGAGGCTCAGCGCCACCTCATGTCGTAGTTTTTAGCCCCGTAAAATCACACGCACATGCGCACAACCCCTTAAGCCCATGCTGACCACACAATAGACCGATAGCATTACGCTACAGCGTCACTATTTTATACATTATACTCACACAATTACACATAACAGAGCTCACATTTGCGTAGAACTTTCAGTTCCATCACATACAAACAAGTTTAAGAGGCTTTAATCCATCGCAGTGGACCTCTAAGGTTCAGATTATCCTGTAGCACGCAACACAATTAGCCTTTAGCATTAGCCTTTCGCTAACTGCGGCCTACAACATGTAACAAAACCCAGCATTGCGTTCCTTTAATTGAGTACTGTTTCGTTTGCCCTAAATTTATTCTGCCGTGGGTAAGGCTATTTAAGTGAGCGATCCTCCCCAATGCAAATATCCCGTCGGACAGAAGTTGAGCAAGCCATCCCCAATAAATTTTCAACCAAACCCCAGTCCCAGACTGACCTGAAACTCCTAGTGCGTTCCAGGGTTTATGGCCCACCCTGTTGGTCGCCCCGTTCGTAACGAGGGCTTATCTAAACCTGCAATGCTCTAAAAATGTATACATATCTTGGCCCCGACTGTTCTTGACTTACTATTCAAGCAACACATCTCTATAAACAATTTTTAAAATTTGTATTATGATTAGCCAGACCCCAGTCATCAGCAAAAACACCACCTAAGGCACAGTCATAAGGGTACATTCCTCCAGTGTACACAAGCAGGAACAAAACCAACAACTTAGCTGTGTTTGGTCGGGTCATGACTCCAAACCAAAGTTAGCTTGAGTTAGCTCGGCGACTCCAAATGCAGCAAAGAAGGATTGCATCATCCCTCCTGGCTAGCTCGCCATTATGTCGTATATGATGAATGTTGGTCGTCCTTGCTGATGAACAAAAGGGAGTCTGCTCATACTGAACATTGATCATAAGGTTTATTCAGATCATAAGCTTCAGCATGAGTAACAGGTGACATGACACCAGGAGAGCAGTGTCCTCCAATTCTAATGTCTGCTCTAACGTCTCATCGTTTAACCCCTATTTATAAACACTGATGCCCCCTCTTCTGGCCAATCACCAGTCTCCCCTGTCTACAACCCACCTCCTGTCTGTGATATGTGGTATTACACCTAAAACATTCCCTCTTGATACTACCATAAACAACATTCTATTTCTTCATGAAAAACATTTAACAAAGACATAATCTTCAGATACCATACTACTTTTCAACTACTTACTACTTTTTAGCTACATTGCAACTATGTAGCATGTTAGCTAACCCTTCCCCTAACCTTAACCCTTTTAGGCTAACCCTTCCCCTAACCCTAACCTTAACCCTTTAACCTAACTCCTAAACTTAACCCTAATCTTAAACCTAACATTAGCGAGCTAGCAAACATTAGCCACCTAGCTAGATTTCATAATATATAATATGTTTTGAAAAATCTTAACATATTGCACATATTGCAAATTAGTAACATGTACGTTTTGCAAATGTGTAACATATAACACGTTTTGCAAATTTGTAACATATAATAGAAATTGTAATTCGTAACATATCATACACATTTGGTGATTGACATCCACAAATTAATACAGACCATAAAAAGCATAACATATCATACTAAATGGAGTGTCTCATACAGAAAAATACAGAAGGTCATAGTATCAACAAAATATCTGTTGACAAGCAAATGTTTGCTAAGGTTATGGTTAGGGTTAGGTTTAGAATAAGGGTAAGGGTTAAAGTTAGGTTATAGGGCTAGGGTTAGGGTTAAGTTTAGGGTTAGGATAAAGGTTAGGGTTAGGGTTAGGGCTAGAGTTAGCGATAATATATAGTTAGTTGAAATGTTACTGATAGTCTGTAGATTGTCAATCTGTAGATGCTCTACAGATTATCCAAATACATTTTTACCAAGATTTTATTTATTTAAATTCTTACAAAAATAACAACAGTTGGGAGTATTAGGCCTAATGATATCGTAAGCGATTTTACATTACTTTCCACAAGGCAATTTGTTTATAATCATAATAATAGGCCTTTAATTTGTCACATTCACCACTGAAATTGACTAAATTTGACTGCCAAGATGTTTTATGTATAAAAGCGCAGTGCAGTAAAAAAATAAGAAGATATTTCCACACTATGAGATCGAAATAATACATAACAGAAAATTATGATAATGCCCTTTTTGTGTAAAGTGAAAAACTCACCAGGAGCAGGCATGCGGAGAAAGCAGAGCGAGGCTGGTGGAAAGGACGGAACAGGCAGAGCAGCGACTGTATGCTAGCAGGATAGTCCATATCTCCAATCATCTTTGCTTATAGCGATGTTGTGTTTCCATAAGTGGATGAATTGGTCTAATTTAGCATGAAAATGAGCTCGTAAAAGTGAATAATGACAACATATGTATTGTTTTGTGTGACTACAGCGCCAGCAATAAAACGCAAAAATAGAGACACATTCTAATTGAGCAAGGTGTCAAAGCGGACAACCCGCCCACCCCTGGCTTCGGTTGGGTCATTATAATTCAAAACAATGCCTTCTAAAATAAATCACACATGCCTCACACGCTCACTTTTGGTGATTTTAGGCCATAAGAGCTGTTTGGAAAAAAAGATCCTGGAATTTCAGCCTGTTCAGGTGGGATGGGACTTTTGGCCCACATCATGACATCACAATGTGATTGGATTACAATAGACCAATGACATCTGGGTAAGGGTGTGTGCTCTAGACCAGCCAATCAGGGCTGTTTATCAACATAAATATCTTCAAATTTGTTTCCTAATGCCCACATTATCAGACTAAGCATTTCAAGGGCCAAAGGAGGCTTAGGGAAATAAATGATACAAAATATGTTTTGGAGTTATTTTAATTAAATAAACACACATAGTGATTTATTAGACATACAGTGATGATTTAAAAAGAAAATTACAAAGACTGCATGTGGCTTAAAAAAATTATGCGATTCTGCAAATGGTGGTCCTCGAGATTTTGATAGTGATTTGGTTGTCCCCCGCAACTGAAAAGGTTGGGAACCGCTGTGCTACGCTACTGTAGTGAACAACTTACGTTACTGACTGTTACATACCAGAAAATGGTTTGCTACTTTCAATCTAGGCTCAATCTAATTCAATCTAATTGTGATGTCAATTCAAATGCTTACATTTTTCCTCAAAATGGTACAGAACACCTCATTTGGATGACTCTGATTTTCAGTGTTTGTGATGGGATGCGATGTGATGTTGAAGAAACCTTAATTATAATGCAATATTATTCTGCTCTAACATAGGCATAAATCATTCGACAAGCTAATCTTGGTCTACTTTTGCAAACACAACAACATTCTGCTTCTTATTATGTGGATATAATTATTTATATGAACAAATGACTTTAAAATTACACATCTTTTTTTAAATTGAGGGTTTGGTTAATAACAGATCTACAGACAAGGCTGAAGAGTCATACTTTATTTACAAAAATACTGAGAACCAAACAGTCCAGGGAAAGAAAGCGGGAGAGATAATTCCTAAAACAGCAGCTAATGGCTCCATGCTACATCTGTAGACCGTAGCACATCTTGTGTGAATATGCAAACAGTAAGACTTAGTGTTAGTCGTGTCTGAGCCATGACCTTAGCGTAAGTGTGTGTTGTTGTTGCTACATTATGCGTGTGTCCGGTAGTACGGTGGCAGTCTGGGCTCCAAGCTGCAGAATGGGACCGTTTACTTTCTGCGGACCGTTTTACCCTTCTTGGAGCTGTAAAATGTCAGAAAGAGAGAGAAAAGAGTGAGACATCCCATAAAGAGACAATTAATGCCATATTTTAATCTACAAATAAAGACTTACATTGACTTTAATTTACTAAATTGACTTCAAAATTACTTTAGATGTGGATGCAAATGTGTGAGTTATGCTGTTCTAATGTTAATATTATAACATTGGTCAAACTAACAATCATCGACCACATCAGATAAAATCACATCAGACCACTCAAAACAAGTCATGGAGTTGTCATGCTTATCCTTCACGACACACCATGCAGCACTTACCATGGAATGGAGGTGATGATGGAATGAATGAAAGCAAAGGAAATATTCCATGATTCTCTCACTGACCCGAGTGTTCTATACCGCTGTGGTCGTGAAGATTCATGGAGTATTTTCTGTCTTTATGGACATCAGGCTAACAGCCGGTCCTTGGTGGCAGTGACACACATGAAAGCTTCGAGACATTAGAACGCAACACTGAGAGACCAAAGAAACATGAGCCCAAAGCTCAACGTTGAAAGCACAATATTTTGTAACTGGACAGGCATTTCATTGACTGCACAATGAACAAATCTAAAGTTACCTCAGGATCAGATGCTTTCATGTATTTTCTTTGCTTTTGAAACATTTGACAATGTGACAATACCCACAACATAGAACACATGGACTAAAGAGAACCAGAGCCTTATATATTAAAAAAAAATAAGGTTTGAGACTTGAGAGATCCATTTCTGTTACATCACAGCTCAGGAACGTGATGCACAAGAACTTGGCTTTCTTTGTTGACACCCAATAAGTCTTGTCATCTTGAACCTGGTTGTAGGCCTATATCCTTTGCGATTTGGATTGTCAGTGTGTACTGTATATGTGTTTTGCCAAAGGTATAAGAGTGGTGCTTGTGTTTATGTTCCAAAAGGGCCAAGAGTACTAAATAAGTAATGTTATAGCAAATTCAAAATTAACGTCTGGCTATGTTTGCCTATACAGTAACATGAATGTCAATCTTGTTCTATAGCAAACTGGTTTCTTCTGTCAGATAGCGAAGGGAGAGATAAAATCAACAGCATTTAATCTCATTGGTGGATTCTAAACTGTAATGTTTTCTGCCATAAACTGCCATGAAGTGTCCTGAACAGTTTTGGCAGTTACTGTATGTCATGTTGATGGAAGTATATTAGGCCTATGAGGCCATTCTATGGATGGCTTGAGTTAAACGTTCTTTAACCATTTAACTCTGCATGGTAATTAGATGGATAATGTCCATATTTCTGTGTTAATTCACCAGATTACAATGTTTGCCGTCTGAGTGGGTGTAGGAGAGGAATGTTACTAGCCTGGGTGCCAGTGTGTTTCTGCTCTCTAGCCACCTCCTTATGGAATTGCTTGGCGTTACAACAACAGCAATGGTTGGCAAGAGCACAAACAGATCTGGGACCAGGCTAGAATGATATTGGGTGGAAGCTACATGACTTACTGTTTCTGTAACTCATCAATGCGGTCCCTGAGAGTGATGACCTGGAAATGACACATTCAACAGCACGTTTAACAGGAGACAGACTGACTGACTTACTGAGGCTTTACCTTGGGACTGAGGAGCCCCAATGCTCTCATTTCTGTGGACTGAATGTCCTGTGGCCAGGGGTTGCCTGCTGTATGTGGCAGTATGGGGAACCAAGACCAGACACACACCTAGCCTAACAGACACTCTTACTGAGTGACACCATAAACTAGACCCTTGCAGACTGCTGCTGTATAAGAAGGTTGATCTTGTCTTAGGTTTCTGCACTTCGCTTAATCAAATAATAGGTTTTTATTGATGAAAACAAATAGGACTGTGAGAGCATGTGAATAGTTAGGCTAATTGTCGGTGGACTGTGTGTGTGTGTGTGTCAGTATTGACTCTCCAAATTGCCAAGGATAGAGAGTTTAGGGGAGGAGGACATGCTAGAGACAATTAGCCACACACTACTGCCACTGAGTTTCTGTCACTTCTTTCATTGGGAATGAAATCCAGACAGAATCACTTACCTGTGAAACACACCATTTCTTAAGACCTGATTAGTGACTGTCTTTTAGCACAGCCGTTCTTTATGGGTCTATGATTGGGTCTCAGTCTAAAGTGCTTGCACATAGACATACTCTAATACCTCTGTAACTTGTTTCAGAATGAGATGGTACAGTATGCAATGTGTTATATCATGTCTATAACATAGAATGTTCAACCTGAATGAGTGAAATATAATCAATACTCATTCAAGTTTCATTTTGCGTCTTCCATGGTGTCTTCTCTTGTCTCCTCGATCGATCATTGAACCTTTTGCTCTGTTTCCATCACCTCTGTGTTAAGTTTCACATGCAACTTTCTCATTAAGTTTCAGACCATGCACCGCAGTGGCGCGGGAGAGCCCCCTGAGCTGTGACAACTGTCCAGCTTTACTTACAATTTACTCAGCTCCTCCACTCTCTTACGCAGGGTTGTGACCTGGAGGAGATATCAAAGCAGAGCTGCGTTCATATCTGAGAGGCTGTGACTGAGGCCACCAAGCAGATGGTGAGACTTTGTGGCCCACTGTCACCCTTGATTTTACTCAGGTAAGACTTGGAATTTTCCAGGGTATCTTACAATTACAATATCTTACAGGGTGTCTTACATGACCCTTGTCTCTAAAAACCTAAGGAAAAACGGATAATATGGTGACTGAGGTAGACCTTTTATCAGGTCACGGTTAATACCAGTACCATCCATACTGCCACAGGGGAATGCGGTCATGTCCAGACATATATGCGCTAAGAACAGAGTGTCACGGATTCAGCCAAGGCTGCCCCTCCTCCTTGTTCGGGCAGGCTTCGGCGTTCGTCATCACCGGAGTACTAGCTGCCGCTGATCTATGTTTCTGTGTTCTACTTGTTTTGTCTTTATTGTACACACCTGGTTCCCATTATGTCCATGATTTGTTCCCTATTTAACACTCTGGCTCCCACTGTGTTGTGTGCGTGTTTGTTCTATGTTTGGTGTCATCGACTGGTGAGCGGGATTGTTCCTCCCTGCGTGGAGATTATGTTCATTTATATTTACGAATAAAGTACGTTGTCTACTAGCTCTGTGTCCTGCGCCTGACTCCGTCCTACCGCTACACACTGACGCCTGACACAGAGCCAGTCATATTATCAGCTTAGCTCTTGATTAGAGTGAGTAAAATTAAAATATTACGTCATGTAATAGAATGTGTCTTTAAAATATATCATAAGGTGCCCCTCATCAACTTAAACAGTCCACAATTATTTAAGATGTGCATATTGCTGTATGTATGTGTGCATCACTGGGATAACGTACAGTATATTTCTCTTTTCTTTAACCAGGACATCGGATACATACCTCATACTTCTGCCTCTTCAGCCTCTCCATGTGGTCAAACTTCTCAGACTCCAGTGTCTGCATCCATTCATGCAGCTCCTTTGCCTTCTCCCTAGAGCAGAGCAAGCAAGATGACTCGGTGAGTTCAAACTCTCTGTGGAGATTCCATATTTATACCTGAGGTTGAATACTTGATTCTGATTAAATTGGCTGAAGGGTGTTCTTAAAGTACATTAATTTCAGATAACGAGACAGTTGCAAACGTTATTGTACTTGCACCTGACTTTTCCTGCTGTAGGCCTATTTCTCATCGCCAAAACAACACACTACACACACCGTACTGTACATAAAGCCCAAGTCTGTTACTTGAACTGTTTCTTACTTCAGTTTCTCTTCATTCAGATGGTCGATGTTCAGGGCCTTGCGTCTGCCTGCCAGGATCTTCTTCTTCTTCTCTCTCTCAGTTTCCTTCTTCCCACCTCTCTTTGAGTCAGCCTGTTACAAATGAATGGCAGTCCATCGATCGGACATGTACACACATAACTCATAGTTTTTTTGTGAATTACATGTTGTATACAAGTAAGTGATATTTTTTAAATTCATAACGTATGGTTCTGTGAAGACTGGTTGGTCGCTAGGTCACCTTCTGCAGATGGCTGCTGTAGTTGGAGCCCATGCTGGACAGGGCTGACTTCTTCTTTGCGTCCTCATCAGCCTTCTTCTTGGTATCTGCCTCCTCCCTCTTCAGCCTCTCCTCCTGTATTGGAAATCACAGCACAAAGTCAGTGTGTTGTAGGGACAGGTCACACGTTAACAGAACGCTGATAGTTGAAGAAAGCCCAGAGGGGTCGGTAGTGGTACCGGCGGAGGACACTAACCTCACGTCTCGCCGCGCGCTCCTTCTCCTTCTCGCTACGGATCCTGTTCTGCTCGGCCCTCTCAGCCCTACGCTTCTCCTGCAGGCAGACACATATAGATACAGATGGTTGGTTGTATTACCTTTGGCCACCAGTGTGCACTGCAGCGTCTTATCATTTTTTCATGGTTGTATTCACTATGAACTAAACATAAGCGAACAGGAATTGACTACCTGAACTTGTCCAATAAGAAAACCTTGATTTCATTTACGGCCTTGTATTCATTTTCAAATTTGACCCATGTGTATGCAGAGTAATGTCATTTACTCATTCTTACTCACGATTCGTTCTTTGAGGGCGATGAGCTCTTCCTCCTCCTTCTTTCTGTGCTCGAAGTGAGCATCTATCAGGGCCTGCAGCTCAATAAGATCCTTGTTCTGACGTTTTTTCTGCATGTCCTGTAAGGTTGGGAAGTAGAGCCATGTGTTAAGTACATGTCGTCAACTCTGACATTAGCCCTGGTATTTATCTAGCCAGCTATCTCCAGATGGTCATGAAGTATGAAGGGCTACTTACGTCAAAGTCCACTTTCTCGCCATCAGGAATCTTTGGTACCCTGAGAATTATCAATATAAAAATACAGTGAATATATGGGTAGTAAAATAATAAAAATAAATAACGTTTATATTTACCCAATTTTTATAATGTTATGGGTAATGAAACACTGTAAGACAGTAGAGAACTAAAAGTGAATTTCATGTATTTGTTATGTTTTATGTAATCTTGTTTGTAATTAAATATATGTACATATTTACACTACCAGTCAAAAGTTTGGACACACCTACTCATTCAAAGGTTTTTCTTCATTTTTACTATTTTTTACATTGTAGAATAATAGTGAAGACACCAACACTATGAAATAACACATATGGAATCATTTAGGAACCAAAAAAGTGTTAAAGAAATTATATTCTTCAAATAGCCACCCTTTCCCTTGATGACAGCTTTGCACACTCTTGGCATTCCCTCAACCAGCTTCATGAGGTAGTCACCTGGAATGCATTTCAATTAACAGGTGTGCCTTCTTAAAAGTTAATTTGTGGAATTTCTTTCCTTCTTAATGCGTTTGAGCCAATCAGTTCTGTTGTGACAAGGTATACAGAAGATAGCCCTATTTGGTAAAAGATCAAGTCCATATTATGGCAATAACAGCTCAAATAAGCAAAGAGAAATGACAGTCCATCATTACTTTAAGACATGAAGGTCAGTCAATACGGAACATTTCAAGAACTTTGAAAGGGTCTTTAAGTGCAGTCGCAAAAATCATCAAGCGCTATGATGAATCTGGCTCTCATGAGGACCACCACAGGAATGGAAGACCCAGAGTTACCTCTGCTGCAGAGGATAAGTTCATTAGAGTTACCAGCCTCAGAAATTGCAGCCCAAATAAATACTTCACAGAGTTCAAGGAACAATCACATGTCAACATCAACTGTTCAGAGGGGACTGTGTGAATCAGGCCTTCATGGTCGAATTGCTGCAAAGAAACCACTACTAAAGGACACCAAAAAGAAGAAGAGACCTGCTTGGACCGAGAAACACGAGCAATGGACATTAGACCGGTGGAAATATGTCCTTTGGTCTGGAGTCCAAATTTGAGATTTCTGGTTCCAACCGCTATGTCTTTGTGAGACGCGGTGTGGGTGAACGGATTATCTCCGCATGTGTAGTTCCCACCGTAAAGCATGGAGGAGGAGGTGTTATGGTGTGGGGCTGCTTTGCTGGTGACACTGTCTGTGATTTATTTAGAATTCAAGGCACACTTAACCAGCACGGCTACCACAGCATTCTGCAGCAATACGCCATCCCATCTGGTTTGGGCTTTGTGGGACTATCAGGACAATGACCCAACACACCTCCAGGCTGTGTAAGGGCTATTTGATGGAGTGCTGCATCAGATGACCTGGCCTCCACAATCCCCCGACCTCAACCCAATTGAGATGGTTTGGTATGAGTCGGACAGCAGAGTGAAGGAAAAGCAGCCAACAAGTGTTCAGCATATGTGGGAACTCCTTCAAGACTGTTGGAAAATTATTCCAGGTGAAGCTGGTTGAGAGAATGCCAAGATTGTGCAAAGCTGTCATCAAGGCAAAGGATGGCTATTTGAAGAATCGCAAATATAAAATATATTTTGATTTGTTTAACACTTTTTTGGTTACATGATTCCATATGTGTTATTTCATAGTTTTGATGTCTTCACTATTATTCTACAACGTAGAAAATAGTAAAAAATAAAGAAAAACCCTTGAATGAGTAGGTGTGTCCAAACCTTTGACTGTACAATTTGATATGATATTGACCTGAAATAAGGGCAATGAAATAATAACAAAAATATATTTATAAAAAAGAAAGAAATTCATCTTTGGTGCGTTAGGCCTATATAGAATAAGACAACTGAAGGTTTTGACTACCACAGTTAAGAATGTAGTATTTTTCAATGAGAGACTGAAATGGAAATGAAAATATGAAGGCAGTTATTTCTATGTAGTAATCATACACATAGAAATGTGTACAAACAAATGAGGGGTTACATGAAACAATGACTTACTTGAACTGTGGCTTTTGGGCTGTATATTAAGAAATGAAGAGGAGGACAAGTACATGTTATTGGGTTAGAAATACACAAACAGCATATAAAGCAAATGAGTAATTCTCAGGCAAAAAAAGATTCAGGCATTACTTGAGTGAATATTTGATTGTTTCTACATTAAATGGAGAAAAAATTGTTCTGCGGGTAGATATTCCTAATTGCCTGGCTTTCAATTTGAGGTAGTGCATGTTTGTTAGTGCTCTGAAAATCAACAGAGAAATATCCACAAAAAGACAAATCAAAATCTCAGATATTGACTTTTCATAAACAGCTTTGCACACACAATTGAAGAATGTAAATATGTGTTATGTGTGCTTGATTTAATGCTAAAGTGTGATCTTATTTTAGAATAAGGAAAGTCCACTTATATTACAGGAAAATATTAAAATGAACAATATTATACCTAAAAGACAAGCAAAGTGTTTAACTTTAAAAGAGAAACGCTATAACTATGTAATGTTTATCGTTTGACCCTCACACCATTTTCACAAGCAAGACAACACAAATGTCATTGTTAGAACATGTTCTTTCTCTTTCTCTTCCTCTTGTTATGTGTTTGGTACGTGCCGTGCTAATAATGAGTGGGCATAGCAGGAAGGGTTGAACAATGGGGTCACTGTGCGGTTAAGCAAATGTTAGCATTTCATATTCTTCCATCCTTTTTCTTATTTTCCCCCCAAAATATACCATTTATAAATTGATTTGATTATCTGATATGTAGTTTTTTTTTCTTCTTCTACCAGTTCTTCATTTTTGTTTTGTTTAGATTCAGCCAATTTCACAGTAATTCTTGATCTGACAGACAGGTATGACAGAGCAGACATTCCCCCAATACAGCGAGACCTCAGACCTGGGACATGGACAATATATACATACTCATTCCTATATACCAACCACAGATAATAAATCTTTAATCAACATACCTTCCTCTTCAATGACCTCTGCATGCAGCAAGCAAAATAAAAGCAAAATAAACAGCGTTAGCAATGGCAATAAGGGCTGACTAATAAGCCATAGGCTGCATACCCTACCTAAGCTTAAGCATTTGCGTTATCTCAGTTTCATATTTGAAATGGAAATGATACTTTGTCGGGCTAAGCACTATGAATTACTTTAGGTTAACACTTCAACAGTTTGTGTAAGAACAATAATGCATTTGTAAATGTGTCTCACACAATAGCACCTCAAAGCATCATTCAGTTAAATCTAGAATCCTTAATTGAAACAATAACAAAGCGACACCCCGCCTCTGTTTCGGTAAAAAGCTGAGGGATGGCCCTGGAGAAATGTAACCACTCTCAAATTCATAGACAGTGCTATTGATGCAATGACTGACCATTTATTATATTTTAACCATGTTTTGAGGCTATACAGTGTCTCTTAACATTTACATTGTTTACAAACATTAGAGTAAACAAGCTTATATTTTGTGTTCTGATGAGGTACAACAGTTGAACGAAGCTCATATTCTTGAAGAGTCAATGGGTATACACTGAGTGTACCAAACATTAGGAACACCGTCCTAATGATTTAACAAGTGACATCAATAAGAGATTATAGCTTTCACCTGGATTCACCTGGTCAGTCTGTCATGGAAAGAGCAGGTGTTCTTAATGTTTTGTATACTCAGTGTATATCATTAATTTATACTTCCAAAAATGTATACGTCCAAAAAGGATTCTAGCTTTAAGAAGGGACTGTCACAACAAACAAATGTTCAGAGTGCATGTACATTATAATCATGATTATGCCTTTTCAGGCTCATAGTAGAAGCACAGAGTTATTTTTACTCCTTTTAGAGTAACTGGCATAAACAGTGCAGGATATCTACTGTATTTTGATACACTGATGACGGCTTACAGTAGGTATCATAGCTTAGGCTTGGAAGTCTAATGCATATATATATATAAAAAGAAACTAATGTTATTGCTATACACTCAAAAAATGCTGGGTTGTTTGGTTGACCCAACTGCTTGGTTGCAGGAGTTGGGTCACTTAGTTTGGTCGTTTTCTTTAAAAAGAGCAAGGTTGGGTTGTTGATGATGGGTTATTGGTGCTGGGTTATTGAGATACAGTGCCTTCAGAAAGTATTCAAACCCTGTGACATATTCCAAATTTTGTTGTTGTGTTAAAGCCTGAATTCAAAATGAATCACCCATCTACACACAACGTGTATTAACAAAGTGAAAACATGTTTTTAGAAATGTATTGAAAATGAAATACAGAAATATCTAATTTACATAAGAATTCACACCCCTGGGTCTATACTTTGTCGAAGTACTTTTGGCAGCCATTATAGCTGTGAGTCTTTCTGGGTAAGTCTTTAAGAGCTTTCCACACCTGGATTGTGAAACATTTGCCCATTTATTATTTTCAAAATTCTTGAAGCTCTGTCAAATTGGTTGTTGATCATTGCTAGACAACCATTTTCAGGTTTTGCCATAGATTTTCAAATAGATTTAAGTCAAAACTGTAACTCGGCCACTCAGGAACATTCACTGTCTTCTTGGAAAACCAACTCTGGTGTAAATTTGGCCTTCTGTTTTAGTTTATTGTCCTGCTGAAGGGTGAATTAATTAGTGTCTGGTGGAAAGCAGACTGAACCAGGTTTTCCTCTAGGATTTTGCTTGTGCTTAGCTCCATTCCGTTTATTTTTTATCCTGAAAACTCCCCAGTCCTTAACGATTATAAGCATACCCATAAAATGATGCAGCCACCACTATGCTTGAAAATATGGAGAGTGGTACTCAGTAATGGGTTGTATTGGATTTGCCCCAAACATAAAACGTTGTATTCAGGGCAAAA